ACCCATTACTTGCAAAGCAATATGCTATGAAGTCTTGCAAATAAATTGTACCTGCCCTTGAGAGCAACACCAAATAGTCCTTTTTATTTAGTTTCTAATTCTTTGCTGAATCTGAGATAGTAAATAAATAATACTCTTCATTTCCATTTCCACAGGCATTGCCTACACCGGTGCTGCCCAATATCACAGGCACTAGCCAGGTATTAAAACTGATCACTTAAAAGGTGGCTACTTGCCCTAGCTGGTTTGGCTCAGTGGATAGAGTGTTGGCCTGTGGAGTGAAGGGTCCTGGGTTTAATTCCATCAAGGGTAAATGCCTAGGTTGTGGGCTCAATCCCCAGTGGGGGGTGTGCAGGAGGCAGCCCATCAATGATTCTCTCTCATCATTGATGTTTCTATTTCTTTCTCTATCTCCCTTCCTCTCTGAAATCAATAAAAAAAAGATGGCTACTCTTGAGTGGAGATGTGACGAAAGTGTAAAATACACACCGGATATCAAAGACAACAGGAAAAGCAGAATGTAAAAAATTGCAATAATTTTTAATATATGGGATTACATGTTAAAATATTTTAGAGCTACTAGGCTAAATAGTAAAATCAATTTTACTGATTTCTTTTACTCTTTAAAATTTGGCTAGAGTGGGGGGAAGTAGAAGAGAGTAAAGATGAGATAAATGGTGATGTAAGGAGACTTGACTTGGGGTGGTGCACACAATACAATATACAAATGATGTATTATAGAATTGTACACCTGAAACCTATATAATTTTGTTAACCAATGTCACCCCAATAAATTCAATAAAAAAATAAAACTTGGCGCTAGAAAAGTACATGTTGCTCACATATTCTATTGGTCTAAACTCTAAGGACCTTATCCACAAATTACCATGACTTCTCTTCTTGGCCTTTATTACAAAGAGTAATTAACAATTATTCATACCACTCTTTAATTGTTCTCTTGTTAGTATTTCTGTGTCTGGCCAACCATCTACATTCCTTATTACTTGAAACCATATCCTTTACTGTGAGGATTATGAATGATTGTGGAGTTTGGATAAGGAAGAGGACCATAATTCTACTGGAAGTCTTTTTTTTCAATACCTTGAAACAGAGAACATCACACAGAGAGATAGCATAACGTACACATTTCCCAACTGGTGAATAAGATCTAGAAATGGCCCTCCCCTGAATCCCCCAATTTCCAAGCCAGTGAGGCTGGACTTCCTTTGCCTAGGTTCATCTTTCCTCCTCACTACAGTGACCTCCCTTCTGTTACAGCAGGATGAAAGTGTTTGCCTATCCTATCTGTAGTTACTGTTACCGAATTTCTGCTGTCTCCTTAACTCATTTAATTGCACAACTGCCCATGCAGGGGCCACAAAAAAAGTGAAGTAGCCATTTAGCTTTATAACTAGTCACGTGCTTTATTTAAGGCAGAAAAATGGAAGTCTTTGACCCCAAGAAGCACTTTTTAAAGGAATATAATCTGTATTCTCTACTCAACTGATTTTCTTCCTTTAAAGAAACCTGATTTAAGAGGGCTATTCATTTTATATTTAAAAACCACTTATGAAACAATTTGTACAAGGGATTTGTAAAATTTTACTAGATCTTGATAATAAAATCAGTAAGTTTAAAGAACAGCAACAATGAAACAAGGGTATTTTGAGGCTAGTGTAACTATATATATGTATAAAACAAACTAAATATTTGAAAATAGCTCATTAAAAATATAGTTAAGGAAACTTACTTTTATGTTTTAGAAATCATACTATCAAATATTTATTTTGCTCTAGCCTTGTTTTATTAATAAAAGGTGGTTTTGATTAGAATTTGATTTTTTAATAGTTTATATTGAAGTTTGGTATTTTAAACAAAATACTTTAAAGTAGAAGGCACTTTAGAAATCAGAGTATTATACTCTTGTTTTATAGATGAGCTTTAAGTGATATTCCCAAGGTCACATACCTAAGTGATGGAAGCAAAACTGAACACATGTATGTTGACCCCAAGTTCAGCTTGTTCCACTGTATTATGCTTCCTTAGTCCTTCTTTAACTTTTATCTGGTTAAAGAAAAAAAGAAATATTCAAACTCAAAACTATACAACTGGAAGATTATGTTATCGGGACTAATAATGCTTTGGTGTTCCATTTATTTGAAATGGAAGTGTTTTTAGTAATATGAATAGATATGAAGCTGGATGAATGGGAATGGGCAGATCCCACTCATCAAGCAGAAAATAAATCCTGTTAAAATGGTGGTAGGTATCAGAGGCTCATATAATTTACTAGAAATTTCCAACAGATTCCTTATCTTTTAGCAAAGATTGTTAAGGGGAATGAAGTCTGGAATGGGGGGGGGGAGGTCTGTTATTCTCTTCAGCTTGATCAAAATTTAAAATATTTTATTTGAAGGTACTAAATGTTTTAATGAACATACCACTGTGGAATGGAAGGTTTTGGCGTAAATAACTACATATATTATCCTATATTTAAACTATACTTTTGGAAGTTAATATAACTATGGATATCATGCTAGGACATCATTGCAGTGAAACTATTCCCAATAAGCCTATATTTTGGTCACTATTAATGGGTAAACAAGATAGCATCTGATATCTATTGCCACGAATTACTTATTTCTCAAAAGTTTCTAAGTTATCTCCAATAGGAGTAATAATAGAAGGTTGTACTCTTTCTGCTTTAGTTTCTTCTTAAAAGAGCAAACCTTATTTTGCATCTTCCTGGATTATTTTTTCCTGTTCAAGTCTTTATTAGTAATCTATTATGTGTCAGGTACTCTTCTGGATTCAAAGAATAAAAATATGACTAATACCTATAGTATGCTTAAAATTTCAACTAAAATAAGTGGTGAAAGCAAACATATCCTGAGGATACTGTACTCTGACATACTAATTGTACCTAGTAAGCTGCTAAAGAGGACTCAGTTACACAAAGACTGTCTTACTCCTCTGGGAGAGATATAGTTGTTGAGCTTGAGAAGTGAGACATCTTTTAGAATACTTTTTAAAAAATGAAAATAAGTCTAATGCCAGTCACAAATTAAACTTTCACCAGTATTAACGATTAGATAATAGCCATCTAAACAAGATTCAGAATAGGTGAGAAAGTTGCCAAAGACAATTTCATTTTACTTCAAATTTGCTCTGTGACATCCTTGGATAGTCATCAAATCATGGGGTATTTTAGCATGGTACCATTCTTTGTCAATTATGACCATAGAAGATCGACTTTCAGTTTACAACAAAAACAAAGAAAGGCAAGGGAATAAATTAAATATATGCAGTCTTGCATTTTGAAGATAACAGCAGATGAGCAAAATCCATAGGCTTGTATCAGAAGCATATAAACACGTTTCTTCTTAATTCTAAAACTGAGCACTTATAATAGGGATGGATAAAAATAAGCAAAGACAAGTATCCTCTCCTTTACTCAAGACAAGACCATTTCCTAGAGTTGAATCAAAAGATAAATGTTATTTGGTTTGTTATAACTTCATAAGAAAACTTAAGCTTCATTTACTCATTTAATAAAAGAGTTCAGTTCTCTCAATTAATATATCTACACTAATAAGACAAAGATGCTAATTGACCATAACTTTGCTACACCCAAGCCACGCCCACCAGCCAATCAGAGAGACTATATGCAAATTAACCCAACCAAGATGGCGGCCGGTAGCTATGGAGCTGGAGCAAGCAGGAGGCTTGGTTGCCCCGGCAATGGAGGAAGCCAGGCTTCCCGCCTGCTCTGGCCGGCTGTGGCGTCCGCAAAAGGCAACAAAGTTTCAATTATAAAAACTAAATAAATCCCAGATACCTGCTTCCAGCCAGCCTCCACTGGGAGCTTGGGTGGCTGGGGGCTGTGGCCAACCTGCAAACAGCCATCAGCCCCTCACCCAGGATGGCCACACCCTCATAGGGTGAGGGTACCTGCTTGGGGGCTTGGCCAGCCTGCAAACAGCCATAAGACCCTCACCCAGACTGGCCAGGCACCCCAGCAGGACCCCTACCCTGATCTGGGACACCCTTCAGGGCAAACCAGCCAGCCCCCACC